AATTTTTTTAATATATTATTTAAAATTTTAATATAAAAGATATTTATATATCTGAAAGATAAAAAATTATTATTGAAATAAAGAAAACCCTCCTAAAACAAACAGCAAAAAATTAAAAAATGTTTTTTTAAAGGAAGTAATTTAGTATAATAAAGATAAAAAAACAATTTTTTTATTGCAAATAAAAGCATACTTTGCTTTTATTTTATATTTTACTAATTCAAATATATTTGCTGCTTGATGGAAATAACTAATTCCTTTACAAGTATTTAAATAAATAATTCTTCTAAATAAAAAAATTTTTTTTTCGATTTAGTACATTCTTTTCAGTGTACATTAAATAGTTTAGCTCGATGTGAGCTCGGACCTAAATGAAGGATGCTGGCGGAGAGTAACGCTGCCCAGGGTAGTCTTGCCCAATGCATGGTTTCCACCCCGGAAAAGTACAGAGCCAGACAAATCGGCCATAACAAAGCGGCGTTGCATAAACCGATAAGGGAGAAAAATAGAGACATTTGACCGAACGTAGTTTCTCCTATTACTTTCTTAAAGAGAACCTACGAGAAGGGGAAATAATTTATATTATTTAAAGATTTTCACATCTTGCAATTGCGATTGCGCATCTAATATAGGTCGTTGCATATAGCTTACTTTATAAACGGCAGAGCCAGCTGCCGCTGCTGTAGCTAAAACGACACCTCCGAGCGTCGGACTTCCGGTTATGCCGTCCATGTAAGCTAAGAGCGCGATGCCGGTGTTGCACAAGATCACCGCGACTATCTGTAACAAGATTTCAAGAGTTCAATGATGAAAATAAAGCCTGTTGTTATAAAATTTCAAGAAAAGTGTATTTTATGACATCGAACGCAAGAACATCATTTTTTAATCAGAAGTTTACGACTTTTAGTCTTTAAAAAAGAAATTTATTCTGACAATTATGGTTAATAAGATATATTTATAATTCAATATGGGATCTATGACAAAAAAAATTGTAAATTAGATCGAGATAAATTGAGGATCTACAAACTAATTTTCAATTCAGTTCATTCAAACTTAAAGGTTTTTAAAATCACTAAACATGATTCTGACGTCAAAAGATTGACAAATTAAAAATAATAGATATCAAAATTTTTAAATTCTTTTTGGATTTTTGAAAAACTTTGTACATACATAATGTAAAAATTTACGTATATATTTTGAATTTAATTTTCTATAATTTTATATAATAAATTTATTTTTATATGATTACATAATTTGACAAATTAAATATCAAAATTTTTAAATTCTTTTTGGATTTTTGAAAAACTTTGTACATACATAATGTAAAAATTTACGTATATATTTTGTATATTTTGAACTATAATTTTATATAATAAATTTATTTTTATATGATTACATAATTTTATTCATATATTTTATATAATTACATAATTATATTCACATATTTTAAATTCAAAATTTTGACATTTAATTCAGTAATCTAAAAAAAAACTTTAACTTTCACTTTAAACATAATAAATAAACATAATTAAAAACTATTTGATAGGTCCTCAAGGTTTAATTCGCAAGTTTTTCATAATATGAAAAACATTTTTATATTTAATCATAAATATTCTATAAATCGTAATTAACACAAGTTTCTTTTGAGAACTGAAAATCTCCTAATTACACATATATAATTCTTTGATTATAACCAAATTTCTTTAGCTTCTTAATTTGCGATGTTATCCTTATCTGTATAAAAAAAATTTTAACATTCTTTCTATATATAAAATTAATTTTTATATTGAGTTTTATAATATTTAATAAGTAACACATCTTTCTTTCTCTCTCTTTTCCTTTTCATAGCGTAAATGTAAATGGTATTTACTAAATTTTATCGATCGTTAACAAAATTACTTTTGACTCTCTCTCTTTTTCTGCTATATCAAAAGGATAAAAAAATATAACTTCTTCTTAGATTTACTAACCCTTACACCCACAAACTGTTCGTGAAGAATGACCCACGAGAGCAGGTAGACGCACGAAACGTTGGTCGCGAACAATGCCATTACGTCGGTGGCTAACAGTATTCGCAACGAGAGTATATACAAGTAATTCGTGATGACCCACAGGCAGCAGAAGAGACTGCATCTGAGTAAGAAGCGGCCGCCGGTGAAGCCCTTATCGCGAAAGCCGCGAAGGCTCTCGGCGATTATCTCGGAAGGGGTAACGCACTTGGTTCTGGCAGCCCGACAGATGAAGTACATCGGGAAATAGAGGACTTCCCAGTTGGTGCAGAACCACGTCGTGAAGAAGGGTGCGTCATAAGCGAAGGTGATCTAAAGATAATTATATATCATCGTATAAAAAAGAAAGAACGAGAAGTTTGTGAAATTAATAAGCTCACCTGCTGATGATGCAAATCGTCCGTGGAGGAATTCGCGGTGACGGACGTCTGAGAGACTTTGTCGTACTTGTAGTGAAAGTACAAATATTTGATGCAATGAGTTGCCCCGACCCAACTCGCCGTCACACATATCGTCACGCACACCCCGAAATATATCTGCAATTGACAATAACATAATTCAACAAGAAGTAACTCTTTTTAACATAAGAAAAAAGTAATCATTTTCCGTAGGTTTTTTAACGTTTCGACAATTTCGGTTTTTAAGTTGCCTCATTATATCAAAATTTTGAGAAATTTACGATTAAAGTTGCAAAATAAGGATTATTATTTTAATGTATCTTATCATGTTTGTAACTCGTTAAAAAAGCTTTATTATAATCAAAGTTATGTATGTAAAATTAGAACTTTTAAAATTCTAAAAAGAAATTTGTTGTGTTAATTACAATTAATAGAATATTTATGATTAAATATAAAAAAAATTTTTATATTATGAAAAACTTGCGAATTAGAACAGTGAGGATCTATCAAACAGTTTTTAATTGTTATTTATTATGTTTAAAGTTAACATTTTTTTAGATTACTGAATCGAATTTTTGAATTTAAAATATATGAATATAAAATTATGTAATAATATAAAAATAAACTTATTATAGAAAATTATAGAAAATTGAATTCAAAATATATGTAAATTTTTACGTATATGTATATACAAATTTTTTCAAAAATTTAAAAAGACTTTTGAAATTTTAATATCTATTATGTTAAATTTGTCAATTTTTTAACATCAGAAACATGTTCAGCGGTTTTAAAAATCTTTAAGTTTGAATGAACTTAATTGAAAATTAATTGGCAGATCCTCAATCACATATTTTAAATTCAAAATTTTGACATTTAATTCAGTAATCTAAAAAAAAACTTTAACTTTCACTTTAAACATAATAAATAAACATAATTAAAAACTATTTGATAGGTCCTCAAGGTTTAATTCGCAAGTTTTTCATAATATGAAAAACTTTTTTATATTTAATCATAAATATTCTATAAATCGTAATTAACACAAGTTTCTTTTGAGAACTGAAAATCTCCTAATTACACATATATAATTCTTTGATTATAACCAAATTTCTTTAGCTTCTTAATTTGCGATGTTATCCTTATCTGTATAAAAAAAATTTTAACATTCTTTCTATATATAAAATTAATTTTTATATTGAGTTTTATAATATTTAATAAGTAACACATCTTTCTTTCTCTCTCTTTTCCTTTTCATAGCGTAAATGTAAATGGTATTTACTAAATTTTATCGATCGTTAACAAAATTACTTTTGACTCTCTCTCTTTTTCTGCTATATCAAAAGGATAAAAAAATATAACTTCTTCTTAGATTTACTAACCCTTACACCCACAAACTGTTCGTGAAGAATGACCCACGAGAGCAGGTAGACGCACGAAACGTTGGTCGCGAACAATGCCATTACGTCGGTGGCTAACAGTATTCGCAACGAGAGTATATACAAGTAATTCGTGATGACCCACAGGCAGCAGAAGAGACTGCATCTGAGTAAGAAGCGGCCGCCGGTGAAGCCCTTATCGCGAAAGCCGCGAAGGCTCTCGGCGATTATCTCGGAAGGGGTAACGCACTTGGTTCTGGCAGCCCGACAGATGAAGTACATCGGGAAATAGAGGACTTCCCAGTTGGTGCAGAACCACGTCGTGAAGAAGGGTGCGTCATAAGCGAAGGTGATCTAAAGATAATTATATATCATCGTATAAAAAAGAAAGAACGAGAAGTTTGTGAAATTAATAAGCTCACCTGCTGATGATGCAAATCGTCCGTGGAGGAATTCGCGGTGACGGACGTCTGAGAGACTTTGTCGTACTTGTAGTGAAAGTACAAATATTTGATGCAATGAGTTGCCCCGACCCAACTCGCCGTCACACATATCGTCACGCACACCCCGAAATATATCTGCAATTGACAATAACATAATTCAACAAGAAGTAACTCTTTTTAACATAAGAAAAAAGTAATCATTTTCCGTAGGTTTTTTAACGTTTCGACAATTTCGGTTTTTAAGTTGCCTCATTATATCAAAATTTTGAGAAATTTACGATTAAAGTTGCAAAATAAGGATTATTATTTTAATGTATCTTATCATGTTTGTAACTCGTTAAAAAAGCTTTATTATAATCAAAGTTATGTATGTAAAATTAGAACTTTTAAAATTCTAAAAAGAAATTTGTTGTGTTAATTACAATTAATAGAATATTTATGATTAAATATAAAAAAAATTTTTATATTATGAAAAACTTGCGAATTAGAACAGTGAGGATCTATCAAACAGTTTTTAATTGTTATTTATTATGTTTAAAGTTAACATTTTTTTAGATTACTGAATCGAATTTTTGAATTTAAAATATATGAATATAAAATTATGTAATAATATAAAAATAAACTTATTATAGAAAATTATAGAAAATTGAATTCAAAATATATGTAAATTTTTACGTATATGTATATACAAATTTTTTCAAAAATTTAAAAAGACTTTTGAAATTTTAATATCTATTATGTTAAATTTGTCAATTTTTTAACATCAGAAACATGTTCAGCGGTTTTAAAAATCTTTAAATTTGAATGAACTTAATTGAAAATTAATTGGCAGATCCTCAATCTATCTCATCGATCTAATTTGCAACTTTTTTGTGATAGATCCCATATTGAACTATAAAGATCTTATTAATCATAATTGACAGAACGAATGCTCCTTCTTTAAAAATTAAAAGTCGTAACAATACTTATATAATTCTGATTGCAATTAAACTTCTTCAGAATATCACATAGTTGTAACATAATCAACACATCATATAGTTGCAACATAATAAAGTATATTAAACTTTAAATGCAAAATTGATATCTTTTTTCTTGCATGTTTCTTGTTGTTGAACCATAATCAATCTATAAATGATATAGAAATTTATAAAATAATTCTGAATCAAATGTCTTAATCTTCAACTATTATGTCTATTACGTATATATTAGTAATTTTATCATTGATCGCTATATTTTATTCAATCTACATTTCTGTTCCAACTATCAATTGTAACACAACTTTTAAACGATGATAATTTTAGCTTCAAGATGAAGTTGCAATCGACCTTCTTCGCGCTCTCGGCACAGCAGGAGGCGAAACATGCCGAGCTCGTCCGTTGAACGACCGGGGTCGTAGTCGGGGTCACGTGAATCGACGACCGAGTTTGAGCTGTCGATTGAACCTGCACACCCCCGGTCCCGCTATCGCCGCTTCCTACGGCACTTCCGGTGGTCTCCAAGGTGCGACAGCTGGACGCAGATTCGCGTCCATCGGCGACGGTGCAACCCTGTTGCTGCTCGCATCCTGAAATACATCGATGGCTGATCAGTTGAATTTTTATCTCCCAGGATCTTCATCTTCTCTCGACAGAGATATCTTTATCTGAATTTGTTGGGTTGCAAAAGGAAATTTAGACACCAATACTGAGCGTGTATTTTCGCTAACTGGACTGCAAAAAAAATTGACTGAAACTTCAGACACGCTTCAATTTTCGAACACACTTTTCCAAACTTTCGGAAAAACGACTCTGATGATTAAGATGGATTATCTGAAATTTCCCTTAGACACCCAGATCTGAAAATTCAAACAAAGATGTGTTTGAATTTTTAGAAAATTTTTTACTGTGTAAACTACCATCCATGATTATATATAGATTATTATATATGAATTTTGTGTTCGAGGCAATGGAAGAAGCTACGAGATCGAATCTATTTTTATCCGCTCTCTGTCCGAATAAAGCCGTGGACGAAAGGTGTATGTATATGTGTGTGAGAGCGTATAGGCATGTCTTTTAACAGCTTAAAGTGATACGACGTGCGCAGCTTTTCGTAAGCATATCCTGATTTCGACATTTTTGCAATCTTATCTTCATACTATTTATAGAGGCAAACTATACTTCAGCAAACTGAAATATTACACGCGTATATATACTATGCGAGCGCTTTATATGATAATGTAAAGAGGCTGATATATATCGGAAATTAGTACTGATAAACTAATATAAAGAGCTAAGATGTAAGCTTTCTTGGAATTCTAACAATAAATTTCTTATAAATACGCTACAAAACGCTACGAATCCACCGGCGTTAGATCTGTTGCATTCTCCAATCGATATTGAAACGAGTCGTCGATGATCATTATATAGAGTATCATAAACCGACACTGTGTCTCCTTCCAGCCACAGATTCCAACCATAAACCGGTTCCTCTTTGGAAAATTTGGAATTAATTAGGAATATGGATCATTATTCGTTTCTAATGCTGTCAATACATGGAATAATTTTATAGATTATATAAGAAAAAGATTATATAAGAGAAAAAGAAAATATATCGACATATTATATATATACATATATAGGATGCCCAGGGTTATCCCATTACCTACTAATGACAAATTCTTGAGATCATTATAAGATGATTTTTCCTCAGCAAAAATATCGAGGCATCAATAATTTCTGCGTTATAAGTGATTAAAAAAGAAGGGCTTTTTGCAAACTAAACTTTATAGAGAGTTAAAACTACATTATTTAATTAAATTCAAATAGAGTTTACTTTAATAGAGAGAGAGAGAATTTTAATTTAAGGTTTAGTTACAAAAATATATGATGGAAAAAATTAGAAACTTGCAAAAAATAATGACCCCTCTCGATATTTTCGCTCAGGAAAAATCGTCTCCAAATGATCTCAAGAATCTGCCATTAGCAGGTGATACGATAACTCTGGAACACTCTGTATACAGGGTGGTCCTCGTAACGGTCGCCACGATTTTTAAGGCACTTACAATAATCTGACATAAAAAAGTCATAAACAGAAATTTATCAGTTTCTAACCGGCAACAAATTGCAATAATAAAAATTGACCAAACAATTTTTTTTCCATAAAAAAGCAAGGCCACCTTCAATTTTTTAAATGGAATTGCCTACTTTTTATTGCATATTCTTGTAGCTTATCTCGAGAGCTTTTCAAAACACTATAATAAAGTATTTTTTCATTA